CACAATGTAGGAATAGATCAGTCTACACAAAAGAATGAAAATAAAAAGGATTCATCACATAACCTGCTGCTCCTTGGGGAGTGTGTTGAAAGAAACCTCCTTACTTTCATTAAGCAAGGAGGACTTTTGTTTTTATTTAGTGGTAAATACCGATTCCGTGGGTCTTTTATTAGTCTCAGTATAGCGCCACTCCCTCGATAGAAGTATGCTGAAACCTGGTCTTGACTTGTATACTTTTGGTTTGGAAAACCGCTTGCGGGCCAAATGATATCCTTCTAAGATCTTCCACTCCGAGAGTTGCAGTCCAAAGGGGTCGACGTCCTTCAAAGTCATCTCAGAAAGATAATCTGCCAACACACGTATGACTTCTTCTTCAGGTACATGTTCTAGATTTGTGGTATCCCCTGTTTCAACATAAATGCACACACAAACCAGGAACATGAACAACAATATAACAAAAACTGATTCTCTCAGACTTCTTTTTCTACAATGTTCGTTCTGAGTAGCTTTCCATGAAGATCAGCTTGTTAATTTTCACCTCCTCCACACGTAAGAAAATTCATAATTTACGTTACAAGAGGGTCTCATGCAATCGAGTGATGGCTTTTACGGCTTACGGTTAAGATTTTACAAATTTAATGGTTAATTTTCATTTCTATAAAACACATTCACTCGCTCGCTTTAACGATCAGAATCAAGCGACGAGGATAATTCCAGATCAAGCTGCTGTTGGGTTGACATTCAATAGAGAGTAATTTTCTGCAAGCCCGCTGATTTTCTCAAAGCGAAAAAACGTCAAGGCTTATTGACCCTAGACATAAATTCTTGGCATGGCCGTCAAAGTCAAGAACGATTAAAATGCAGAAATAGAGCGGTGTTCTTCTCCCATTTTATTTCTTGCTTCATATTTTTCAATTGGCTTCTCCTCCTCAGCTCGATACCAACTAATTACGCCTTTTGGAGCAGCCAGTACTCACAAACTAAAGGAAGAAACTGAAGATCCAAAAACTAGTCAACAGTCTGTCAACTCATTTAACGCACGAAAAGAAGACACTCGTGTATGCGCTGGTTCAAGGAAAATCACCGTGGGACCTGAGCCGAAAGTCTTTGTTATCGATATCAGGATGGAATGTGTAACCATTGCAACCGCATTGGTCACAGTTCAAGACGCATAATATTCAGGATGTTGACATTTGAAACGAGACATCGTAACTCGGAAATTTTTATGCCGGGTAAACTATTTTCTACAACTAACGGTTAAAATTTACAACTTTTTACGCCGTTTTTAACCCAATTGAGACCCTTACATTAAAACCTTCTGTGATAGTCATAATTGGTTGCCGCGGTCTAAAGCACGTCAAATCCTATATATCGCATATAAAACTCCAATAAAGAGAAAGGTTGAAATTCCTCTGTGCTCTAAGGGCCTTGGGACTTTTAGAAGCAAGCCATTCCTTACCCTTTTAAGGCATTAAAATATGTAGACCCTGGTAACTGACTGTTTCATTTCGTGATAGACAAACCAACTACCCAACTGGAGTATTTCCACCGAACCTACCTGTTCGTTCCTTTACGGCGAGTCTGCAATCAAACTCACACCCGGGAACTAAAATATCTGCACCCATATATCTTAGCGAGGGGAGAACTATACAGCCTCGACATCGTGACCGAGTGGTTTCATCGGTGAAGCAAATTTCTTTCCGGGCGTTCTTGACGTCACTAAGTGGTAATGGAAAGTCTTCCAATTTTTTCTTGACATCCTTTCTAGCCACACAGATCTAAAAGCACACATTCAAAAAATCTTTTTCTGAGTTATATGACTCAAGCTTTTATCGAATCCTTTTCTTTACGTCTTTAAGAATGAATTGCTTATGTTGTTGTTGTTATTCATATTCAAAACGACCTTATTTGCGAAAAGAAATAAATGCAAATTGTGAGATTCAAAGAGAGTGCTAAGAGGGACTTAAGCCAGAACCTACGCTCGTGCTCCTTGAATGTTAGCTCCGTACTGGCGAAAAGTTTTCATAAAATTTGTCACATCCACGGGGCATAATCGTTATTATCATGTGAATTTGTTTAACCCATAAAAGCATCAAAATCTTTTCTTAGTCACCTTGGTAATGGTGCACTAATGAAGGCAAAACGTCGGTTGATTCATTTAATTATAACCTGCCATAGGAGTTATCGTTCCGCGAGATGATGACTGCAAGATCGTTGATGCATATAATTATTATTTTGTACTGAAAGTTCCTTTTGATCTGTGCTACCAGGTGTCAGATGTTACCTTCACTAGGCCCTCTAATAGTGACTAATCCAAAATGACACCGCATTACAGCTTCTAACTGGTTGCTTGAATTCTTTTTAACTTTCAGTTCCCGCAGTACTCCCAAAATGGCGTCTTTCAGTTTTGATGAATAGCCTATCTCGCTCACACATGCCTATTAAAAGGAAGATGCATGAAAAAGTTAAATATCTTCTGGATATTTCACTAGATATCACTGACCTCTGACAAAGACAAAGTTCCTAGCAAACCTGGCGTATTGTTTTTCATTCAGATATGCGCACGCCCGGCGATAAGGTGTTGTTATAGTTACATGAGTAAGCTATGGATAATTTATATAAAGGTGCAGCCAATAACGTTACTGGCTGTGGTTCGGTCCACTGTGAAATGAATCAAGATTCGTAAGAAGATGAAAAACTCAAAATACAATACTTAGAATTCAATTTGCTGAGGACGCTCTTCGTTATCCCGGTTTAACTTTCGAAGTGCAAAGAAGTATTACAATAACTTAAACCAAAGAATGAAAAAGGGATGAGTAGGAAAACAAGCGTATATTGCAGCCATGACAAAATAACACGTTACCTTGATTGCTAACCACGACCTTATTTCGTTCCATTTAAATCGTCCAATAATAATTTATACCCATTTGACGCCTTGTTTAGACCTTAAATTGTTATATACAATTGCAAACCTGTAGGTTGGATTCTCTTGAAGTTTGAAGTCGAAACAGCGCCTGCGAGCTGGTGACCACCACATAATCTTTTTCTGAAACTCGCTCCAGCTTCAGTTTACAGTTCTCAGAAATATTCCAACTGTCAATGAAACAGCAGACTATATGGCGGTTGTTTTCAAAGCCCCTGAGTCGTTTTGCAGCCTGAAAATGATGAGCTCCTTTGTTAGCTTTTAATGCTTTTCAGTCAAAGTAAGACGATTGGAGGTGGTTGTCAAATGTTATACTATTTATTTTGCACCTTCAGCTATCTCAAACATTTACAAATACAGATATACGAAATAGATGTAGAGATAAAAGAAAAGAAAATAACGCAGACGTACTGTTAGACCTTAAGGAAATCCTCACGGCCACTCAGGTGGCTGGAATAAAGTGACGTGGTTCGAAAGCCGAATAATCCCACAAAGAAGGTACGTAATGAAAACTGAGATGTCAGTATAAAACCTGCTTTAAAAGCATTATACGTATATGTCTTCACTCTGACTTGCAAAAGATTAAGCTCTAAAAAATATCCATTTTCTTTTCTTCTTACAATGACACACCATTATAGTTTGTCAAGCTTAAGAGAGTTTTTTTGGGGTAAAGACAATTTGCAAGTTGCTATTGAGTTAAGATTTGGCATGCTTTTGAGCTTGAGCAAAAATATACGGAACACGTACAAATAATACAATTGCACCTCTGGTAATAGTATTGCGAGAAAAATAATATCGACGTTGTCTTAACAAAAAAATTGGTTAAAGCTTGATAAAAGACTCACAGAGTTGAAAATTTACTACCCTGTATAGCTAACGATTTGATTGCACCTTATTTGAGGAGTTGAGTGGCACAGTCATGGTTTTGAGAGGCTTGGAAGGCTGCCTTCACTTCATAGGGTGAAAAAAAAGTTACGCAGGTTAAAAAGCGACTAAAAATTATTGATTAAGGGGAAACAAAACAAAAATTTATCAAACTACGTACCACTGTGTTTTTGATACGGAACTTCGTCAGATCCCATTTCTGCTCCTGTTTGTTCACTTATCTTAAGAAGATTAGCTCCATGCTTTCCAATCACTAAATCTTCGTATCTGATTGGAATTTCCAATTTCTCCCGCGTGGTTAGCTCTAGTTCCTCCTTCTTTCGTGGACACTCAGTAACATTCGAAGGAACAAAACGAGTTTAATCATGTTCATAATCACCTCCGTTCATAAAAGCGTTCATGCACTGTAGTTACCTCTCGAACATCTAATCAAGAAAGGATTTAGGCTGTAGAAACCAATCTGGAACTAAAGGGTATGGTATCCAGAATTCTATTTTTAGGTATTTCGTTTTTGTTACTGCATCGTTTATGAGTAAAACGTCAATTCACTATTTGCAGGTTGTTATTGAGCAAAGCCTGTCATTTTTTGGAGTACGTGCAACAATTAAGAAGGGTACACTTGTTAATTTCTTAAATTTTTCTGTGTTTAAATGTCATCGAGTATGATAATTGGAACCACATTTGGCATGCTTTTGAGCTTGAGCATGTGCAAAAATATCGGGAGCACGTACAAATAACACAATTGTACATCTGGTAATAGTATTGCGAGAAAATAATAACGACATTGTCTAAAAAAAAAATAGGACTCACAGAGTTGAACATTTTCTACCCTGCTTAACTGACGATTTGATTGCACCTTATTTGAGGAGTCGTATGGCACAGATATGATGGTGAGAGGCTTGGAAGGCTGCCTTCACTTCTTAGGGTGCAAAAAAAGTTATGCAATTTAAAAAGCGACTCAAAACTTAA